GGAGCTTTTCTTCTTAATATGTGTAGTCTTATTTTTACAACAAGAAACTTAAAAAACATGTTTTAAAATGGTAAATTTCGATAGGGAAATATAGATTCTGAAATTAGGCTCCGCCTTTTGGTCTGATAACAAATGAAAAATTCATCATGATTGAGATAGCGACGGATGGGTGGGGTTTACCTTTTGGCTTTCTCATTTACTTAATACATTCAGTTTTCTTTGAACAACACATGTTTCACGTGGTAATTTCTCATAGAAAAATAAGGATTTTGCAGTTAAACTCCGCCCTCTCGGCTCACGACGAATAAAAAAATCGCCACAATTGAGACAGGGCGGGTGGGCGGGGCTTATATTTTGCCTATTTGTTTTGATATACGTAGTCATTTTTTCATAACACGAAGCTTAAAACATGATTAAAATGATATGTTTGCAAGTAAATATGGATTTTGCAATTATGGGGCGGAGCCTATTTTCAAAGTCGATATTTCCTTATACAAAATAAGTCTACATATATTAAGACAAAACGGCAGAATGTAAGCCTGCCCGCCCACCCGCCCTATCTCAATTGTGATGATTTTTTTATTTGTCATTAACGAATGGGGCTAAGCTTAACTGCAAAATACTAATTTCCTTAAAAGAAATTAGAAACATATTTTTGAATATCGTGTTGTTCAAAGGATACTAAAGGGCACAATATAAACCCTGCCCACCCACCCCATCTCAATTCTGATTATTTTTTTATTCTTAGAAACTTAAAACATGTTTAATTAAAATGATAAATTTTTGTAGACAACGAATGAAAAATTCATATACAATTGAGAATTGAGATCAGGGGGTAGAGCTGAACCTTTGACTTTAATTTTTACTTAATGTATGTACATAATATTTATTCATTGAATAACACGGTATCCAAAAACATCTTAAATTGTAATTTGCCGTAGAGAAATAATAAAGATTTTGCAATTAAACTCCGCTCCATTGGCTCTGGACGATTTAAAAATCAACACAACTGAGAAAGGGCGGGTGGGCGGCGCCTATATTTTGCTTTTTTTCTTAATATACGTCGTCATTTTTTCATAAGAAGAGCTTAAAACAATTTTTGAAGATCCATTTCCTGTTGAAGTACAAGGGATAAGTTGTTTTCCAGCCTCTTGAACCTGAAGATGATTATTTTTTTAATAAAAGCCGAAACATGTAATTAAACTACTTTTCTATCCACACGTTCAAGAGACGGTCCAATTAAAACATGTATAAAATGGTACATTTGTGTAGGCAATTATAGATTTTGCAATTATACTCCGCCTCTGGGTTTGACAACCGATGAAAAATTTATCAAAATTTAGGTAGAGGAGGGTATGGGTGGGGTTAATCGTTGGCTTTATTTTGTTTTTTTAATATACATGATGTTCTTTGAACAACACGATACTCAAAAGCATGTTTTTAATTTCTTGTAGAGAAATAAATGTTTTGCAATTAAGCTCCGCCCTTTTAGCTCACGACGAATAAAAATATCATTATAACTGAGACAGGGCGGGTGGGCGGGGCAACATTTTTTCTTTATTTTCTTAATATGTGTAGTCTTATTTTCACAAGAAAAAAATTAAAACATGTTTAAAATGGTAAATTTGGATATGGATATATCGATATTTTTCTCCTCTTAGTCTGACAACAAATGAAAAATTTTGACTTTCTCATTTACTTAATGCATTCAGTTTTCCTTGAACAACAGTTACTTAAGATTGTGTTTCATATGGTAATTTCTCATACAAAAATAATGCAGTTAAACTCCGCCCCGCCGATTACGACGAATAAAAAATCACCACAATTGAGATAGGGCGGGTGGACGGGGCTTATATTTTGCCTTTTTGTTTTGATATAAGTAGTCATCTTTTCATAATAAGGAACTTAGATCATGATTAAAATGGTTCATTTTTGCAAAGAAATATGGATTTGGCAATTATGGGGCGGAGTCTAGTTGCAAAATCAATATTTCCCTATACAAATTTATCACTTTAAATATGTTTTTAGTCTCATGTTGTGAAAAAAAGTCTACACATATTAAAACAATATTACAAAATGTAAGCCCCGCCCACCCGCCCTATCTCAATTGTGGTGATTTTTTTTATTCGTCATGAATCAAGAAGGCGGAGCTTGACTGCAAAGTACTTAATTCCTAAGAATGTGCTTTTCTATATCGTGTTGTTCAAAGAAAACTATGTATATTAAGAAGAAAGGCATACCATAAACCCCGCCCACCTACCCTATCCCATTTGTGATGATTTTTTTATTCTTAGAAACTTAAACATGTTTAACATGGTAAATTTTTGTAGAAAAATATGGATTTTTCTATTAAGCCCAGCCCCTCGATCTGACAACCAATGAAAAGTTCACCACAATTGAGATAGGGCGGGTGGACGGGGCTTATATTTTGCCTTTTTGTTTTGATATACGTAGTCATCTTTTCATAATAAGGAACTTAGATCATGATTAAAATGGTTCATTTTTGCAAAGAAGTATGGATTTAGCAATTATGGGGCGGAGTCTAGTTGCAAAATCAATATTTTCCTATACAAATTTACCACTTTAAATATGTTTTTAGTTTCATGTTGTGAAAATAAGTCTACACATATTAAAACAAAATGACAAAATGTAAGCCCCGCCCACCCACCCCATCTCGATTATGACGATTTTTTTTTCGTCGTGAACCAAGAGAGCGGAGCTTGACTGGAAAATACTTAATTTAAAAAAAAAACTAAAAACGTGGTTTTCAATATCGTATTGTTCAAAGCATACTATGTATATTAAGAAAAAAGGCATAACATGAACACCGCTTACTTACCCAATCCCAATTGTGATGATTTTTTTATTCTTAGAAATGTAAAACATGTTTAAAATGGAAAATTTTTATAGACAAATATGGTTTTTGCAATTAAGTCCCGCCCCTTGATCTGACAACCATTTCAATTCATCACAATTGAGATGGGGCGGGTGGGTGGGGCAACATTTTTTCTTTTTTTTCTTAATATGTGTAGTCTTATTTTCACAGCAAGAAAATTAAATCATGGTAAATTTGAATAAGGAAATATCGATTTTTTTCTCCTCTCGGTCTGACAACAAATGAAAAATTCGTCATGATTGAGATAGAGACGGATGGTTGGGGTTCATCTTTTGGCTTTCTGATTTACTTAATACATTCAGTTTTCGTTGAACACCGATTACTTAAGGATATGTTTTATACGGTAATTTCTCATACAAAAATAAGGATTTTGCAGTTAAACTCCGCCCCGCTCCTTAGGACGAATAAAAAAATCACCACAATTGAGATAGGGCGGGTGGGCGGGGCTTATATTTTTCCTTTTTGTTTTAAAAAACGTAGTCATCTTTCATAACAAGAAACTTAGACCATGATGGTTCATTTTTGCAAGGAAATATGGATTTGGCAATTGTGGGGCGGAGCCTAATAGCAAAATCAATGTTACCCTATACAAATTTACCATTTTAAACATGTTTTAAGTTTCATGTAGTGAAAATAAGTCTACACATATTAAAACAAAACGACAAAATGTAGGCCCCGTCCACCCGCCCTATCTCGATTGTGATGTTTTTTTTATTTGTCATGAACCAAGAGGGCGGAGCTTGACTGCAAAGTACTTAATTCTTAAATATGTACTTTTCTATATCGTGTTGTTAAAAGAATACTATGTATATTAAGAAGAAAGGCATAACATAAACTCCGCTCATAAATCCCATTTGTGATGATTTTTTTATTCTTAGAAACTTCAACATGTTTAACATGGTAAATTTTTGTAGACAAATATGGATTTTTATATTAGGCCCCGCCCCTCGATCTGACAACCAATGAAAAGTTCATCACATTTGAGATGGGGCGGGTGGGTGGGGCTTATATTTTGCGTTTATATTTTGATATCCGTAGTCGTCTTTTCACGACAAGAAACTTAAAACATGTTTAAAACGGTACACTTTGCAAGGAAATATAGATTTCTAGTTTTATGTTGTGAAAATAAGACTCCACATATTAAAACAAAAGGGCAAAATATAAGACCGCCCACGCACCCTATATCAATTGTGATAATTTTTTTATTCGTCATGAACCAGCTTAACTATAAAATCCTTAATTCCTTAAAAGAAATTAAAAACATGTTTTGAATAATGTTGATCAAAGAATACTATGTATACTAAGAAACAGGGCAAAATATAAACCCCGCCCACCCACCCCATCTCTATCGTGGTGATTGTTTCTATTCTTAGAAACCTAAAACATGTTTAAAATGGTAAATCATTGTACAGAAATACATACGGATTTTTCAATTATGCCCCGCCCCTCGATCTGGCAACGAATGAAAAATTTATCACAATTGAGAATTGACTTCAGGGCGGGTATGGGTGGAGCTTATCTTTGACTTTAATATGGATTTTGCAATTATGAGGCGGAGCCTAAATCCTTAAAATGATATATATGGTATTTTTTGAACAACACAGGACTCAAAAACATGTTTCAAATGGTAATTTCTAATAGAAAAATAAGGATTTTGCAGTTAAATTCCACCCTCCGGCTTACGACGAATAAAAAAAATGATCAGAATTAAGATAGGGTGGGTGGGCGGGGCTTATATTTTGTCTTTTTGTGTTGACATACGTAGTCACTTTTCATAACAAGAAACTTAAAACATGTTTAAAATGGGACATTTTTGTAAGGAAATATGGATTTTGCAATAATGAGACGGAGCTTATTAAAACAAAATGGCAAAGTGTAAAACCGCCCACCCACCCTATCTCAGTTATGATGGGTTTATTATTCGTCGTGAACCAAGTGGGCGGAGCTTGACTGTAAAATATGTTTTTCATTTTTCATTGTTGTTGCATAAATATGTATAGCTCGTTTCGATAAGACACAGTTGGAATTCTGGTGTTATCTCGACAATTTTTCGCGAACCAATAGAACCAAAATAGCTCCAAGGAAAAAACTCAACTTACCAATAAATGAGTGATGTAAACGTTTACTTGCTTAAGCAAGAGAGTAAAATGGTGCGCTTGAGTTTTGAGGCTTGAGACGAGAGCTCGCTGAACTCCATCCATATGGACACTCTAAGAAAGCAAAATCACTATGAGTCTCAAGAACTATTGCGTATGTGAGAGCAACCGATTGTCAAGTCAATTCTCAAAGCTTTAGTTAAGAGCAAATGCGAAGCTTTAACTCTATTAGCATCTGGAGTCTAAAAGGAGAACTAGATTTTGGGGCTAGTTGAGAAGCGATTCCGTATGAAAGCTTAGTCATCGTGCTGCGATTTCATACAGAATCGTCTTCTATTGTTAGAACTGTCGTAGATTTTTCAGTCAAAAATTATACATACCGTCACTGAAGAGTCAGCGAAGTGCAAAAATGGTGACACTGAAGCCACAACCTTGGTTGGAATCTTGCTGATAAAGTCGCTATTGTAATTAATAAAATGGACAACCCTTCTAGCTGATTCTCTAGTCAACAACACGATCAACTGTTCTAAATTTTCAGGTCTGGCCTGATTTTCGGGTTCGTCTTTACTCAAGCTCGCCCACTACTCTTTCCTTTTGGCGAACGCCAACTTTGGGTCTTTAGCGACCTAAAACACCCATTTTCTAACGAATTTTCTCACCCAAACACTTACTAATTTCGCCACGTAGATCAAAACATTGATAGCCTCAACGCTGTGCTTCTTCAAGGCATCTCAAGACTATTAATCTGCTTATTTTTACCATTAAAGAAAAAAAAATGGGTCTACTTTTTTGTTTTTATTTTGTTTTATATCCGCAGAGTGGTGCTAGTTGTGAGATTAATGGTGCTAGCCGGTGGTAGATTCTAGTTTTCTACTAAAATTCATCAACTCGGTGTTGCCAAGTTGACCCTTTGAATCAACCGAACTCTTCGCAATCGCACTTTATTTTCTTGAAAGATTGATGAATGCCGCCGACAAAATCACTCTTTATTGCATGCCTTGAATGATGTTATCAACTAAATTTAATTTCCATTTGCGTTTGAACAATGCGAATAAATTACGAGCACGCTTTTCCATAACGCATGTAGCGAAAAAAGCTGTTACTTTCATATGCCAATCAAATATAAATAGAGCAGTTTTTGCAGATGTCGGTACGTTATTCATGTTAATTTAAAAGGAGCTTTGATCTGGAGGTTGTTAAGATTTCGTGGTGGTAAAAAGCTGGGACTTTGATCTCCAGCAAGGTGAAGAAATACGGAGTCATGCTGGTGTTTCTTTGAAATAAATTATATGAATTATGTACCGGCGTGGTTTTAATGATGATTTCGGAAAAGATAAAAGGCAAAATGTTAGAATCTTGAGGGTTGCGGAAGTGTGTAGAGCGATGGCAAACTGGTTTGTTGTAAACTCGCCAAAGGATTTATTAATTACGAAACGCCGCTAATGAGCAACGATTTTATTTGGCGATCTTTCCCTTTCAAACATATTTATTATTAATTGAGTCGAAATGGCTACAATAGTTAAAATAAACTTATCTGGGAGTAATTTCTGATTAATTAGGACAAGCAACGAACTCCGCCGGATTGACTAAAATTGATGAATTCGCTTAACAAGATTAGGAAGTTTTAATTTAAAACAACAGCAGCTACATTGAAGTACTTCTTGTAAAATTTATTCTAATTAGTCTTTTTCCTTCGCTGTTTTATTTGCTGGTTTGGATTGAAAGGTTATAAATGTATCACGCTGAAAACCTTATTGTGTAGGACTTAACTTACAAAATTTCTTTCTGCATCACTAATGACCAAAAAATCACCAAAAGTCTGTAACGTAATGTTCAATTAATTTTCCTCCCAGCCTCTACATTTACGCGCCCTCGGAACTTTAAAACTGATGAATCAAACGAATGTAGACAATTAAAATTCACTCATTTCAAAATGAAATCTTCAAAGAAATTACTAAAAATTAGTGCCTCTACAAAGAGAACAAAGGCTTTCGCTGCAATCAGAGCAAACACATAGACGAGTTCAATTACTACAGATTTTAGTTAAAAAAAAAAATTAGAACGCGGAAATTTTCACTCTCAAAGCAGAATTTTCGCGAATAGCAGTCTTAAGGGAAATACGGTGTTAATAATTAACTGGCTGTTAATAAAAATTAATAGCCTTATTAAAGAGTAGGCTCAGTACAAGTAAAACAAAGAAACCCACTCACCTAAAATGAACGTTATGCCGAGTTTGAATAGAAGAACAGAATTTTAACGCAAGAGTTCTTAGTATCATTATCATGAAAATCACAATCGTCGTTTATATTGCAAATGAGGTGTCGGAAAACTGACACGCAATCAACAAAAATCGCCCTCTAGTTGGCGCTGAATTATCAGCCGGCATAAAATTTAAGCTCTTCTTGTTATGCGCAAATTTTAACGGTTTGTGGTCGTGGGGGGCTGTATTAAATGTGGTGATTGGATTGCGGGGGTTTTGGAGGCTCTTGCGTTAATTTTTTTCTCTAAGATGGTGCGCAGCCGCACATTTTCGTATTATTAAAATATATTAAAAATAAAAATTGAGAGCTTCATTCTAAATATTGACATTTAGGAGTACTGTTTTATTAATTATTAGTGATACCAAATCCGGGGCTAAAAATATTTCCATTTCCCCCATGATCAACGAAAGAGAATAATAAACGACAATAATGCAATTTTTATAACATCTTCAGTCGGTAGCTGTTATGAGAAGAATAATAAAAATTTTATTAAAAATCTAACCTGGTTACCTAAATTTGATAAGAAAAGGAATATGAATAATATTCGCATTTGTTATTAAAGTTAACTAATAAAAAAAAATTGAATGAGTATTTCTGAGGTACGAGGAAAGAAAAAATTATTTGACGGAAATTTTGTGAGTGTCTGTAATTTTATGTAGCAGGTTTCCTTCTATCTAAGAATGTTACAGAACAAAAAAAATGCCTGATTTGACTGGGTCTGACCTGACTTGACTTAACTTGGTCCCATTTGATCCAATCTAACTGACTTGACTTAATCTTGTGACTGACTTGACAAAACCTGCCCTGACATGGCTCGAACTGAGCTGACACAGCCTGAGGTGGTCTAAAATGACTTATACTGACCTGACTTGACTTGACGTGGGCGTATTGGACATGACTTAGCGTGACCTAGCCAGATATGACTTGACTTAACTTAACTGGATCTGGCCTAATACTTATGATCTAAGCTCGTCTGACCTGACCTGACTTGACGGGATCCTATTTGGCCTGACTTGAAGTCAGAATTTGCTTGAACTCGGTTGATATAAATTGATCTGGCCTGACTTGACCTGATTTGACGGGAGGATCCAGACCTGGTTTGACATTACCTGACCTGACTAGAGTCGGCCTTATATGACTTGAACTTAGTTGATACAGCATGATCTTCCAAGATCTGACTGAAAAATTGAAACATTCAAAAGTTGGAAAATCGAAAAAATGAAAAATTTAAAATAAAAAATTAAAACTCGAAGAGTTACACATAGCAAAATTGAACAAACAAACAAAAATCTAAAAATTGTAAAGATGAATCTTTCCGAAAAGTTTGAAAAAGCAGAAAATTATAAAATCGGAACGGTGAAAAATCTGATAACTGAAAAAATTCGAATCATCAATTATGAAAAAATAAAATTTCACTGAATCAAATCTTAGATATAATTTTTAGAGAAATTTGGATTTTTTTTACCTTCGATCAAGTTTTTGATATAACAAATTTTCGTTTTCTCTTTTACTTCGGTTTTACAATTTTTCAATACCACCATTTTTCGATTTTTCGTTTTCTTTCATTTTTTTTTCATCAATTTTTCAATTTGCAATTTTTCAAATTTGCAATTTTTTAATTTTCATTTCCTCAATTTCGTATCACAATTTTTCGTTTTTTCATTTTATGGTTTTTTGTTTATTCAATTCTTCAAGTTTTCAATTTTTTATTTTTCTGTTCCTCAGTTTTTCATTTTCCGATTTTCCGATTTGTTTGATTTTCAATTTTTGGATTTTACAATATTTCATTTTTTGATTTTACATTTTTCGAATTTTATCTTTCTCAATTTTTTTTCTTTCGATTTTCAACGTTTCGTTTCTTCAATTTTTCAAGTTCTTGCTTTCCAATTTTTATATTCTTCAAAGTTTTCATTTTATATTTTTACGTTTTTTCATTTTTGGTTATTCAATTTTACAATTTTGGAAATTTTCCACCTTTTGGATTCGAAAAATTCGAACAATCGTAGAAATAAAAATCGAAAAACCAAAAAATCAAATAAGTGGAAAATAGAAAGAGTGAAAAATTAAAAAATGAAAACTCGAAAAATTGCATATCATAAAATTGAAGGAACAAAAAAAATGAAGAACTGAAATATTACAAGTCGAAAAATAGAAGAAACGAAAAATTGTTAATATGGAAATTGGAAAGACAAAAAACTATTAAATCAGAAGATCAAAAAATCGAATAACTGAAAAAACAAAGAAAATAAATAAACGACACGAAAAATTGGTCATCGAAAAAGTGAACAATTAAAACTGAAGAAACGAAACAATGAAAAACAAAAAATCGGAACATTGAAGAACTAAAATCGAGAAACTTAAAAATTAATCCAAAAAGTGGAAAAAAAAGCGAATCGAATCGAAAAATTGTAAGCTAGAAAAACAGTAACACTGAAAAGTCGAAAAATTTAAAGATTTTTTTCAATTTTTCGTGTCCTTAATTTTTCAATGTCTGGTTTTTTATTTTTCAGTTTTCCAATTTTTAAATTTTCATTTTCTCGTTTTTGTATCGCCATTTTTTGTTTTTTCAATTCCTCGATGTTCCAATTTTTAAACATTTCAATTTTGAAATTTTGGATTCCTCATCCGATTTTCCACTTTTTTTAGTTTTCAGTTTTTAATCTCGATTTCCACTTTCAGATTTTTCAAAGTTTTGATTTTATACTTTTTCGTTTTTCCATTTTTGATTTTTCAATTTTACAATTATGCAATTTTCTATATTTTTTTAATTGAAAAGTTGAAAATCGAAAAAATTAGAAAATCAAAGAACTGAAGAGATGAGAAATCTAAACATTGAAAAACTAAAAATTGAGAAACTTAAAAACAGCAAAAAAATTAGTGAATCGGAAAATTGGAAAGAAAAAAAGATGAATAGAATCGAAAAATTGGAAAACCGAAAAATTATAGAATCATTACAGTTGTAAATTCGAAAAACTGTAATATTGGAAGATCGAAAATTTGCAAAATTAAATATCGACAAATTGGAAAATTAAAAATTGGTGGTCCCAATTCCTCTATTTTGACCTTTTAAAATTTTCGATTTCTCGGTTAATCGACTTTTAGACTTTTAGATTTTCAATTTTTTGATTTTCGGAAAGTTGAAAAATTGAGAAATGTAAAGTTTAAAAAACGAAAAATTGAAAATCCAAAACGTAAAAAATCTCAGAACTCGAAAAATTAAAAAGTCAAAATACCAAAAAATTCCAAAACTCAAATATCTAAAAATTGAAAAGTACGAGAAAAACTGAAGAATCGAAAAACTGAGGAATCGAAAAACTGCAAAATCACAAATTGAACGAAGTATCTAAAAAATTGAAAAATCTAAAGCCTGAAAAACCGAAAAATTGAAGAACTGAAAATAGGTTAATAGAAAAAGCGGAAAACTGCCAATCCAAAATTTAAAAATTG